CCCCCGGCCTCGCCCTCCTTGCTGAGCCCGCCGCCGCCTTCGCCTTCGCCTCCGCGCCGTCGACGCCGCCGCCACCGACGCCGACGCCTCCTCTTCCGCGCCCCCCTCGTTTTCATTGAAAGCAAACAAGCATCATGGCGGCGGCCGCCGTCCCCCTCCCACCCCAGCCAGCGAGCGCCCCGCTCACCGCCGCCTCGCCAACATCCTGGCTTCTCATTGGCTGATACTGCTGGGCGCGACCATTCCGCGTCGGGAGGGGGTGGCTCTTCGCGGGCCGTCGCTTAAACCCGGTCTCCTTCCCCCCCCGGTCGCGGAGCAATGAGCCGGCCCAGCGCGCTCCTACCCGCCCTCCCTGCATCTCTTCCCGCTCTCTTTGCTCTTAGCCTTCTCCATGCTTCCTAGCTCCTCCTCTTCCAAACGCCGTTCCTCCGCCTTTCAGCTGCTGTCTATGTCGTCCACCTTTATCTCTACTTTTCCCTTGATTTTTTTTTTCCTCCTCTCCATTCACTTTTCTTTTCTTTGGCCTGTCAGCCACTTTGAAGCACAGATAGGCTCTCAGACTTTTAACCTATCCAGTATCTTGATCTGCCCGGGGTGGGGGCGGGGGGGAAGGAACGTTCAATCTTGAATAGTTGACTAATTGTTCCTGCCCTAACTGTGCAGAAAAATTAATCAGCAGGCAGTTTTTGTTTTGTTTTTACAGAATCCTGGTTTAAGTTACGATCCAAAGCCGCATTCAAAGGCTTACACAGTCTATCTATTCTGGGCAAACTGTGGTTGCAGGTAAACCGGGAAAGAAATGGGCTGATTAACGATGTTTACGTCAGGGAATAATAGTTGACTGGTATTTGGGGCACAGGGATTAATCAGACTCCACCTTGTCTTGTGTCAGCGTGATGGTGTATGGGCAAGAGTAACATCTTGACAGACAAAATACACTGCTGATGTAAGGTGTAGTGTGAAGGACAATAGCTGTCTGTACCTCGTGTCAAATCAGCCCAAAAGATGAGGTGAAATGGTTTCCAGGAACTAACAAGGAAGAAATAAATGCACATCCCTCAGGGAAGTCTGGGAAATGGGTGGCTGTTGCCTGAGGCTGAGGAGAGCTGGGAGGGCAAAGCACTGAGGGACAAAAGCCCTTCCCAGAAGCAGATGTTCTGTTCAAGACAAGCAGTTTGTGTACGCTTGGTTCCAGCATTGCCTTGAGATGATCATTGCCCGCCATCCACCAGGATAGCAGTGCCAGTCTAGGCTTCTAGTGCCAAGGGACACTAGACAAAGTTAACGCAATGCAGGTGCCCGTCATCCATGAGGTATTAGTAAGCACTGGTGCAGAGTAGCTACCCGAAGATATTCCTCCATAACCTCCAAGCCCTGACCTACTCAAGTTGTTCACTAGGCATCTTATACAAAGGGGAGGCTGAGGGGCCACTGATCCCGCTGGGCCATTCCCATTCCACTGCTGTGCCCTGGCAACCTGTGCTCCCGCCTAGAGAAGATGGTTCCTTTTTGTAATTCATTTGCCCAAGGGGAACTGCCTGTTTGAGAGTGACTGTATGCCCCCAAAGGAGAAGAAGTCTGGCTGTGTAACAAACGCCTTGGCTTCATTAAGCAATAATTCTATTAGAGTCCATGAACCAGATGCTTAGCTAGACAGTTCTGCTGGTCTCACTTGTGGTCTTTCATGCCAATGCCTCGCAAAGGTGGGTGGATGTTGGATCCCTGGCACCTCCATGTTCCTTAATAAAGATCCATCTGTGTTGGGAGTACTTTGCGGATGCTCTCCTCCCCCTGAGGTCATCCTGGGTCACTAACAGGGTAACTCAGGGCTCCAAGAGGAAGAAATAGCAGGGCTCAGGTCTCCTGAAGTATATCTCTTCCTCTGTATTCATCCACCAAGCAGTCACAAGCCCAGGGAGGGTTTAAAAGAGGACAGGAGCAAATGAATAGCTGTGTGCACGCAGAGGGAGTGGTGGACGTATTCAGGGCCATGGAGGCACACACCCTGCAAATACTGGGGTTCCCAGAAATGCATGATACTGTTCATCTGATTCCAGTGACAAAATTGCCATGAAGACTGCTCATCAAAGCTGATCCTGACAATCAGAACTGCTAAGGAACCAGAATGCTTGTGACAGAAGATTCATGGTTCTTCTAGCGGGTAAGCACAGGGAAAACCAAGCTACACCAGATACTGGTGATCCTGAAATATGGACCCTGGTTAGCTAGTCAACTCTGAAAGTATGACATGTCCTCTGTAGGACTGGAGACTTGGTATCCAAGGATGGTCACTGAGAACCTGAGTTCTTTTTCCTTGTGTAATACTAAGGGTGTTGCATTTCTCTGGGCTCAGGGCCAGTTTTCTTTAGTTAGAATCTGGTATTATAAAGTTACAGGTCTCCATAGATCTTCCTCATGTTCTTTATTGTCTCTAGGTCTAGTGTATTAGACTTCATTTGATTCAAAAATCAAGTTCAAACAGCTTTAAGAAAAAAAGAAAGGAAAGGAAGTAGTTGGTGTGGTGGTTTGAATGTAATTGGCCCCCATAAACTCATAGGGAATGGCACTATTACAAAGTGTGGCTTTGTGGAAGTGGGTATGGTCTTGTTAGAAGAAGAGTATCATTGTAGAGGTGGACTATGAGGTCTTGTATATATGCTCAAGACACCTCCCAGTGTCTCAGATCACTTCCTGGTGCCTGCATAAGATGTCGAGCTCTCAGCTACTTCTCCAGCACCATGTCTAATACACTAGAAACCTTATAAACTTCCATTCTGAGCTCAACGTGCTCCCTGAGGACTCACCTTAAAGGAGCCACCAGAAGCGGTCAAGACAGCAGGTTTGTTTCTGCTTTTTTTATATATATGTCACAGTTTCAAAGAATGAAGCTAGTTTTCCATTGCTAAACAAAAATTATTAGGGACGAGGAAGACACCTTGGGGTGCGGTACTTGCCCATTGTACACAAGGCTCTGGCTTGGATCCTCACTGAAAATAAATAAAAATTGTTAGTCATGAATTTGAGGAAGAGAAAAAAACTTAAAAAACAGAAAAGTGCCAGTTTACGTTGGCACACGCTTTTAATCCCAGCATTCGAGAGACAGGGGCAGGTAGATTTCTATGAGTTTGAGGCCAGCCTGGTCTACAAAGTGAGTTCTAGGACAGCCAGGACTACACAAAGAAACCCTGTCTTAAAAAAAACCAACCAACCAACCAAACAAGCAAAAAAACCAGAGAAGCATGAAGACGAAAGTATATCTCACCCTGGTTCCCACCTCAGCCACACCCTGAAAAGCTGAGCATTTGGATTAATTATTGGTAAACCTCAAGCTTATCCCCAGGCAAAAGTACTTAGATGAGAAGTCACACTGAGGTGTCCAAACTCCTAAAGGTTTTGTGTCCTAAGGTTTAATATATGTGCTGAGAATATCTTAAAACAAGTTTTAAAAGTATGTCAATCACATTCCATATATTATGCCCCATTTGTTTTTATTTCAGTACCAGATACCATTTTAGGTGCGTGAGCCTGTAAATTTATATCAGAGGGGGAAAGGGGGGGAGATGGTTCAGTGGGGAAGGGCACTTCCTGTGCAAGCACCAGGACGTCCGTCATCTTTCTGACTTCCTCGTGTGTAACTCACACCCTGACTAGTATTTACCGTAGTTCCCCCAGGAATGTCTGAGGGTTTGAGGTGTGGAGTGAGAGACACAGGGCAATCAGGTGTGGCTTTCAGAGCTTTGGCCCCAGCAACTGGTAGGTGCGTTGGTGTCAGCTCGGATGTGCAGGGCAGAGGTTGGAGTTTGGTTTGGGCAATGCTGGAAAAGCCTGGCAATTCCTCCCACCTCAAATGTAAGATGCCAACGCCTACAAGCAATTAATCATCAATACTCCCCTGGGGGAGGAGCACTTCCAGGTGCATTCTTGTTATGAGATGTGAGGTGTGGAATGATGGCAGGAGCCTGAACTGGGGAGTCTGAAGTGTGTTTGCCGGAGAGAGTGGCCTAAACATTGAGAGAAGGACTTTGTTGCCGGCAGATAGCAAGCCTGTTAAGTTTCTTAGAACGGATTCTGCATCCTGTGATGATTAGCTTTGCTTGTCAATTTGACTGGCTCTGGAATCAATTAAATGGCAGGTCTCTATGAAGAATACTCTTTTTTCCTTCTATTTGTTTGTTTTGAGACAGGAGCTCACTATGCAGCTCTAGATGGCCTGGAACTCATTATGCAGACCAAATTTTAAAGAGGTTTATTAGAGGCATCAGCTCATGTTGCCTCCCCTGTTGCCTTTGCGTCAGAGGCAAACGAAGGGTACCCGGTGGTGGGAACATGCAGTGCAGAAAGCTACTTAACTCTTGGTGGGTGGAAAGTAGAAAGAGGGACAGGAAGGCACAGGGGTTGCAATATCCTTCTGAAGGGCATGCCTCCAATAGCCTAACTTCCTCCCACGAGGCCCTACCTCCTACAGCAGTGGACATTCCTAATGCTGTACTCTTAAATTCAGTTCCTCATATTGTGGTGATCCCCAAGCATAAAATTATCTCATTGCTACTTCATAACTAAATTTTGCTACTGTATATGAATTTTAATATAAGTATCTGATATGTAGGATACCTGATATTTGACCCCTGTAAGTTTGCTCGACCCCTCATGGGGTTTCTATCCTGCCAGGTCCCACAATCGTTCAGTCCCCAAAAAACACACAGAGGTCTACATTAATCATAAACTGATTGGCCTATTAGCTCAGGCTTCTTATTAACTCTTTTTACTTATATTAGCCCATAATTCTTGTCTGTATTAGCCATGTGGCTTGGTCCCTTTTCAGCGAGGCATTCTTATCTTGAATCCTCTGCTGTTGGTCACAACTGCAGACTGACATTTTCCTCTTCCCAGAATCCTTCTGTTCTCATCGCCCCACCTCCATTTCCTGCCTGGTTGCCCTGCCTATACTTCCTGCCTAGCTACTGGCCAATCAGCATTTATTTAAAATACAAGTGACAGGGTACAGATCATTGTCCCACAGCACCCTCATAGGGGTTGCGACCCATATATTGAGAACCACTGTCCTAAAGTCTTCACCACCTCCCATCAACATCACCAGTTGGTGACCAAGCCTTTTAACACATGAGTTTTTGATGAATGTATCAGTTCCAAACTGTAACACATGAGATGTCTTTGGACTCTGGCATCAAGAAGGCTGTTCTCAGACATGGTCCTTCAAAGATGATCTAAAGCATGACTTGAAATAAACATTTCCCCTTTATAACTTAATCAGCCTTTTTTTAATGACATTAGCAAAAGAAAAAATAGAACAGAATGACGTTGGTGTTCATTGTCAGCGTGACCAAATTTAAAATCACTCTAGAGATGGGCATCTGGGTAGGCCCATAGATTATCCTGACTAGGTTAACTGAAGTGGGAAAGTCTGCCCACTGTGGGTGGCACCATCCCCTAACATATATCCTGGACTCTGTCCATGGGGAAGCAGACTAGGCAGCAATATGCATGCATCCACTGCTCTCTGCTTCTTGCTGCGGGTGCAGTGTGACCAACTGTCTCAAGCTCCCGCTGCTGTGAATTCCCTGCAGTGATGGGCTATCACCCGGAACCGTGAACTGAAGTGTTAGCAACAACAGAAATTAGGAACAGGTAGCAAGCCCAGGAAGCTGAGCAGCACCTCTATCCTCACTGAAAATTCAAAACAGGTATTTTCATTTTCTATTCAGTTGTGGAGAAGCTCATTTTTCTCCTCAAATAATTCAATTCGTCAATTTCCTTACTAAGGTAAGAGTCTTACTGTGTAAAAGTTAACCACTTTAGAATGTATAATTTAGTGGCATTTGGTGTACTTGCGATATTGTAAACCCTCCTCCTCTGTCCAGTTGTAAAGCATTTCCATCCCATAGAAGAGTACATTCATTGGAGTTGTCTTAAAATACTGCTTTAACTCATTTACTGCTGTGAAACAGCAGGCATTAGGCACACTAAATTACTCACTACTGATTACACTATTTCAATGTACAACTGGGACCTGGAGAGATAGCCCAGTGGTTAAGAGCATTTATTGTTCTTCCAGACAGCCTGGGTGCATGCATGAATCATTATTACCAGAGACTCTTCTTTTAATTTTGGCATGTGTACATGTAATGGTGTGTGAGGAATGTGTTTGTGTGTGTGTGTGTGTGTGTGTGTGTGAATGTGGGTGTGAGATTGCCACAGCATGTTACTGAAGTTGGAGAACACATCTAGTATTGGTTCTCTCCTTTGTGTGAGATAGAGTAGCTGTGTTATTCTCCACTGTGTCTGCAGGACAAGCTGGCCCATGAACACCTTGGAGATTCTCTTGTCTTCTCCCATCTTGCATTAAGAACACTTGGATTACAGAAGAACACTACTGCATTGAGTGTTTATGTGGCTTCTGGGAATTCAAACTCAGACCCTTTGTGCTTTTGAGGTAAGTTCTTCACACACTGAGACTCCCCCATGTCTTTAAAAAAAAAAAAGATGGTGTCTCCTGTATCTCAGACTAGCTGTGGACTTGCTGTGTAGCCAGAGATTGTCTTGAACATCTTTATTGTTATCTTGTTTTAGGTAGGTTCTCATTATATAGCCTTGGCTGACTGGAACTGGCTATGTAGGCTGGGATTAAAGGAATGCACCACCACACCTATCTTATCTTATTTTAAATTATGTTCATGAGAGAGAAAGGTTTGTCTATATGAATGTATGTGCCTGCAGAGTCCAGGAGGGGACATCAGATTCCCCCAGGGGCTGGAGTTACAGGTAGATGTAAGTCGTACCTAACATGGGTACTGGGAACTAAACTTGGGTCATCAAAAAGTCAACCACAGAACCATCCCTCTAGCCCTCTTCCTTTTTGTTATTAGTTTTAACCACACATTTTTATTTATACTCTGTGTGTGTGTGTGTGTGTGTGTGTGTGTGTGTGTGTGTGTGTCAGGGTATGTGTGGAGGTCAGAGGACAACCTGAGAGAGGTGGTTCTCTTCTTCCATCATCTGGGGCCCAGGGATTGAACTCAGATCATCAGGCTTGGTAACAAGTATCTTTACCAACTGAGCAGTCTTGCAGGCTGGGACCTTGAGCTCCTGATCCTCTTGACTCCTCCTCCTGGGTGCTCAGCGCACAGGCATGCAGCACCACTGGTTTATGTGGTTCCATGTTTCAAGCTCAGAACTTTACGCACGCTAAACATGATGACTAATCTTGATTGTCAACTTGACTACATCTGGAACCAACTAAAACCCAAGTAGCTGGACATGCCTATCATGGATTTTCTTGATTGGATTTTTGAAGTGGGCTCACCCTAAATCTGGATCATTTGAAGTAGGAAGATTCACCCTAAATCTTGGTGACACCTTCTTGTGGCAACTTTTAGAAAGAACATGGAAGAATGAAGTTTTGTTTTTTGCCTGCTTGCCCTCGCTTTCTCTGGCAAATCCATCTAACCCGATGCTGAGGCATTCCTTTGCTCGTAGTAAAACCTACTTCAGGATTCCAGTGAAGACTGAAAGACCAGCTGAGACATCCAGCCTTGTGGACTGACCCACTACCAGATTCTAGGTTTTTCTGTCAGGAGACAATTATTGTTGGACTGGCTGAACCATGGTTTGTTAGCCACTCTAATAATAGAGAAAGAGAGAGATTGATTTGGGACTGAAAAGGTGGCTCAGCAGTTAAGAGTACTTATCCTTGCAGAGGATCCAGGTTTAATTCCCAGTATCCACAAGGGCTCACAACTGCCCACAACTCCAGTGCCAGAGGATCCAACCCTCTCTTCTGACTTCCTTGGGTACCAGGCACACATGTAATACACAGACATGCATTCAATCAAAGCACTCATTCACATAAAATTAAATAAATCTTTAATATACTCATTCATCCATTCAGTTCCTCTACAGAGCCCTAACTAATACAGTAAGCTTGTGCTTAACCAACTGAGCTACATGCCCAACTCACAGACACAGAGTTTTGTTTTTATTTTTAATAAATTGAGAATTGTACCGTCAAGGTTTTAGGAAGTTCCTTTGCTTCTTTTTTTTTTTTTTAAAAAAAAGATTTATTTATTTTTATTTTCTGTACATTGATTTGCCTGTATGAGGGTGTTGGATCCCTTGGAACTGGAGTTACAGACATTTGTGAGCTGCCATATGGGTGCTGGAAATTGAACCCAGGTCCTCTGGAAGAGCAACCAATGCTCCCAGCCACTGAGCCATCTCTCCAGCCCTGACACAGAGTTCTTATCATGAATGTTTTATCACAAATACATGATGTCTTCAGCCAAATGCCTCTTCTGCTTAGGTTGATATACTTTCCTTGTTGATTTTCAAGTACTGCAACATCTTGTGTAACTGGGACGGAGCCCAGTTAGTCCGGGAATGTCATTCCTTTTGTACGTTCTTGGATTCGATCTGCCAATGTTTTCATGCGTGTATTTACATAAGTTTAGGAGCAATATAGATTTGTGGTTTTCTTTCTTGTGCTATCTTTGTATGAGAGTCAAACCAGTCCCTAAAAACCAGTGAAGCACTCCCTCTTCTATTTGGAGGAACAGATCTTATAGTTGGTGAAGTACTCCTTCTCAGCTCGGGATTCCTTATCTTTTTACATCTTTTTACTTTCTTGACTATGCCTGTTTTTGTTGCCATGACGAAGATACTTGAGGTAACTTACGGTGGCGCATGGTTTCAAAGGTTTCAGTACATGGCTACAGGTCCCATCGCTTGGGCCTGGTATGAGGCCGACCATGAGCATGCAGAAGAGGACTCTGTCCACCTAGTGGTGACTAAGAAGACAGTAAGAGAGTAAGGGACCAAGATATATCTTTTTAGTGACCTACTTCCTCTAACCAGACCCCACTGCCTGCTTTTTACTACCTCCCAACAATGTTGTCACATTGAGAAGCCATGAAAGATAAGCCCATTGCTTAGATGAGAGCCCTTAGGATTCAAGTATTTCCCCGAAGTCTACCAGCCATCAAGTCCCCACTACAGGAACCTGTGGAGGACATATATTCAAATGGTAACAGTTTTATTTGTGTGTCTTTTTTTTCCCTTTTGGTTTTTCAAGACAGGTTTTTTTTTTCTCTGTGTAGCTTTGGAGCCTGTCCTGGAACTCACTTTGTAGACCCTGCTAGCTTCAAGCTCACTGAGATTCATCTGCCTCTGCCTCCCGAGTGCTGGGATTAAAGGTGTGCACCACCACCGCTCGCCTTTATTTGTGTGTTATCAACCTGGATCAGACTTCGGGGAGTCTAATGCCTGGCAGATCATTGTCAGCACATTTAAAACACAGTACAGTACAGTTTGGGAAAAGTCTCCAGGCAACAATCAGTTCCATTCTAGGTTTCCAGGCAACAGTCAATTCCAATTCCAGATGCACAATAAAGCTTAAGGTGTGACACCTTAGAAACTCCTTTACAAAGTCCATGTGACTACGAAGATGGGTTCGAGAGCGAAGGGCCTAGAGTCTAGTGTGGTCTCTGACTGAGAGCAGAGAGATCAGCGAGCCATAAAGTACATGTGGCATCTTCCCTAAGGATGGGTTCTATTATCTGGAAGCTAAAATAATGGCCTAGGCAGTGAGAATCTGGGATGACCATTGTGGGGGATTTGGATGAGGTCTGCCTCCACAGAGAGTCAAAAGGTCACCAGGTCATTAACAATATCCACTCCCACCCTTCTGCATGGGAAAACAGGTGTTTTATCTCCTCTGTTGAAGAGAGGCCCATGTGTGGTTAACATTCCTGGTTGCCAAGTGCTCTGGGCACAAGGACCTTCTTGCCCCCAACATGCCAGCAGCACCTTTCCTTCATTTTCCTTTACTCAGGGTTTCCTCTTCCCCTTTAGTTCCCTAACAGCAGATTGACCTGCTATACAGTCTGGGGGTCTTGGTTCGTCCAGAAACTTGAAGGACGCCACTTCCTCCTACCCATCATTTCAGACGGGAATCCTGCCAGTGTCTAATTGTTCTTTTGTAGGTAATTGCCCTTTCTTCTTGAGCTGCTTTAAATATTTTTTAAGTTGTTTGGGTTTGAGAATTTTAATTATGATGTGTCTTATGGATTTCTTTGGCCTCCTATTTGAGAGTCACCCCTGTTCTATAGATTTATATCTTTCACCAAGGAAATAGCCATTCGGTGAGAATTTTTATGGTCTTGTTTGCCTTCCAGAATTCTTGTGGTATGAATTCTTTTCTATACAGTTTCTCCTTATCCTCAGAGTTATATTACAGGACTTATAGCATGGACGCTTAAAACTACAGTTTATATACTGTGTTTTCCCACCTATACATGCATTCCTATGGTAAAGCTTAATTTATAAATAAGTCAAATGTTAATTAGGCACCATGAGTTAAATAAAAGAACTAACTACAAAATTGGACAATTATAACAATATCATAATACAAACTTATACATTGGAGCCATTATTAGTTAATGTAAGGGTTACCTGAACTGCAATCCCACAACAGTTCATCTGATAACCAAGATGTCTGCTAAGGGACTAACAGACAGGTAGGACATGAAAAGGGGATGCTTTGTATCCTGGATGGTCTGGACCAGGACGGCAAGCGGTTTCATCATGCCGCTTGGAGGGGCACGTGGTTTAAAAGTTGTGAACTGAGACAGGGCTTCTCTATAGCTTTTGGAGCCTGTCCTGAAGCTAGCTTTTGTAGACCAGGCTGGCCGCGAACTCAGAGATCCGCCTGCCTCTGCCTTTCAAGTGCTGGGATTACAGGCGTGCGCCAGCACTGCCCTGCTTGTGAACTGTTTCTTGAAGACGCTTTCTCTAAAATGACTGCCCTTGACCATGGACAGCCGAAACCATGGGCAGTGAAATCACAGAGAAGGGAGGGCTGACGCCGTACCTCAAGTCTCAGCACATTGTTCCCTTTCAGTCTGTCTTCTTCTGTTCTTCAGACTGAGTAACTTCCTCCAGTCTGTCTTCAGGAGTCTTCTGTTACCCGTGCAGGGTTTTGAGAGCGACTGAAACCAGTCGCAAGGTGTTTGTCATCTCCATGGGACTAAGTCTGTCCTGTAAGACTTGAAGTTGTGATTCTTGCATTTCCCAGTTTTATAATTTCCCTTTTTGTTTTAGAGCTTTTTCTTTGCTGAGATTTCTTCTTCTTCTTTTTTAAACTTGTTTCAGTAGAGTCTGTAAGTGCCCACTGATGCCCTTTCCGATGGGTACTTCAGATTCCTTGTCACCTCATCCCAACATCTGGTTCACGTCAGGAGTGGCAGAGGTGGTCATTCCTAATGCAAATCGTGGCTTCCCTGGTTCTGGGTATGGTGAGTGATTCTCTGCTGCACCCTTCCTGTTTTGGTTATTGGAGGAGAGAACCTTGAACCAAGTCTCTTATTTCAGTCACCCAGGTTAGCGCATCCTGCCTTCCTTTGTGAGTGTTAGCTCTGACGATAATTTGACTTTTGAGCT